CATCCATCCATCCATCCATCCATCCATCCATAGCAGCAATCCTATTGTTAAGTGTAAAAGTTCCACAGGTGCTGCTCAAGATAAATATTAAAAAGAAAGCATCCTAGATATAAATGACTGTCAACAGAATGCCATAATCTGTAGTGGCAGCAATAAAACTGTGTTGCAGAAAAGAAATAAAGGGGAAAAGTATATGCTTCCATAACTTTTTAAGACAAGCCTCATAGCCACAGGAATTTGAGATGTCCTCTTGCTTGATGAGAAAGAATCACCCAAATAAGCCCTAGAAATTGGACTGCAAAAGGAGGGGCATATGACCTCATGTATATGTCCCATTGGGATATGGTAGCACTGCGCGTTAAACCGCCAAAGCCTCTGTGCTGCAAGGTTAAAGACTAGCAGTGGTAAGATCGAATCCACGCAACGGAGTGAGCCCCCATCGCTTGTCCCAGCTCCTGCCAACCTAGCGGTTCGAAAGCATGTAAAAATGCAAGTAGATAAATAGGTACCGCCATGGTGGGAAGGTAACGGTGTTCTGTGTCTAGTCACGCTGGCCACGTGACCACCGAAACTGTCTATGGACAATAAGTTTTACCTTGTATGTCCCATTACATTTCATGTGCAACAGGAGAAGATGGATGAAAACAGTGTAACTGGAGCTGCAACCATCCTATAAATCGGGATGGGACATATACATTGGTATAGAAGTTAAACATGTAGGCCAGGATCCAACCCACTTTGAAACAAACGGCAGGGGAAAGCTTGTCAATGAAACTTCCTGCATTACTTTGGACATGATGACAGTAGGATTCTTAATTTAGTGAGCTTATTAAAATGAAGTGGGGAGGATATACAATTCTTAAATTTTACACTACTCTTCCCATACGCATTGGGACACATGGTATAACTTCATTAGGCACACATTTCAATGCTGCTCAAAAGGACAGCTTACCTTCTTGAAGTTCCACCATTAAATATCCCCATCAAAATCATGTTTTTACAGGAATCTGACTAAATATTCAGTTACAAGGCTCATTTTGCAGAGACACTAATTAATGACCCACCACATGGAAATGAGGTGGAGTGGAATAAGATGACACCATGCATTATTCTGTTGGCAAGTACATCATTCTAGTAATTAGTGCAGGTCTCTTTTTTCAAAAGAGTGGATTAAGCAATATGGACAACATGAGCTCAATTCTACCCAGTATGTCAAGCTTTCCAATTCTTTGGCTTTGTCAAAAGACCCTTTTTTGACACTGCTCTTACAGAGCTGTCGTAAGTAACCAAATGGGGTTTATCAGTAGGAAATGTTAAACTTAATATCACACTTGAACTTAAGGTGATTCGTGTTCTTTACTAAGGACATGAAACGGTCACTAAACCCTGCTCTACCTTGACTAATTAGGAGCCTTTGTTTTATTGAAGGAGCACCCTACAACTGATTTCTTTTCTTTCCCAAGGAAAAAAACTGCAGCTTAAATGTCTACTGGTTGAGTTGGTTAAGGAATGTTGATATTCTAGAGAGAGAGGCAGATCCTCTTTATATATTTGTTTCACAGCCAAGCCATCCAGTAAGAGTTTCATTACCCTAAAAATTGAGGGGCGTCTTTTACACGGAAGTAAGCTGAGATAGCTGGGAGAGAACAAAATGGCATATACCTTGCCTCTGTAAACAGGCTTCCTCAGTCACGAGGCTTAGTTTCCTACAGTCTGGAGACTTAGCTTCCTCCAATCATGAGCCTTATGGAACTGACGTCAGCTGATCCTGAACAAACCAACTGGAACACACCTCCTCGGAGATGGTGCCTGTAGGCTTAAGATTCAACAGAGACAAAATGTCTGATGCTCTGAGCCCAGAGGCTGAATCCTCAAAGCTAAGTTTTCTTAATTTTGGGGTTAGAAAATTGGGGGGGGTGTCTTATAAATGGGGGTATTATAAACGGAAAAATACGGTAAATGTTGAGGTCACTCCAATACAGATAAGGTATCCCTGGAAAGCTGGCTGTATCAAGCAAGAGACCTCAAGACCTTTGTATAGCTGCTTAATATTCATAAATGTTGGAATTCAAAATCAAAGGAGCTCCAGTTTCCACTGTATCTATCCTTTATAGATGTAATATTCCTATTCAGACATAAAACAGTATTCAAACATAAAACAGTATCCTAACAGAATAGATATGCACTTCAAGAGAAACAGGTCAAGAAGAAAATGATAAGAATTTGTTTCATTTTCAAGAAATAAGCACAGAAGTAAAGAATATACCAGACTTGGAGGCAACTGGACTGTCTAAATGAAAGCTAACCTTTATTAAGATAATGAGAAATTAAAAAGGAGAAATGCTTTACATTCTCTTTTATGTAATATCTCAAAGACCACCACCCCAAACTCCTTCCTCCATAAACCAAAACAATCTTCAGGTTGCCATTGAAAAGTCAATTACATTAGCTGTAGGCCAAAGAAAGCTCTGGGAACAACAATTTGGACACATAATAGCCGTGAGTAAAAATCATTAAGCAAATTGAGAGGTTCTTTAAGCAATTGCCACTGGGAAAAAACAGTCCACACATAATTTGATGCAACTACTCCATACAACTGTCTCAGATGTATACAAGGACATTCTAGACAAAAATGTCTAATTGTGGTCTTTGCCAGTGACCAAAGATTCTATGGAGGGCTCATTTCTATCTCGTTACACAGAACATCTTTGGGGGATACACTAGATACTAGTGGTACGGAATTAAAGCAGCTACTAAAGGATCAAACAAAGAAGCTGTGAGCTAGTTCTCATGGGTCTACTCAGAGGACTTGTAGAGCTTAGTGACAGACCTAGTCAGGGACATCTTAACATCTAATGTTTATGAGCCTATCCTAGCAAACTCCTTAATTTTTTGGTGTTGTTGTTGTTTCAAAATGAGACTGGACTTTTCTCTGAATAATTACAAGGATAAATACACCACCCTTGTCTTCTACTGCAGGTCACACATTCTATATTTTGCTTCCACACAATAATACATCCCATTTCTCAGTAGAGAATACCCTAAAGGATATGAAATAATTATGTGGAAGACCAGGAAAAGTTAGAGAAACAGGGATTATTGCAAGCAGTTTCCTAGCGTAAATGACATCCGAGATTGACTGCAGAAGGACTTCTGTTAAATTCCATTTGGTCCTTCAAGTGCTAGACATGTTTTTTCAAATCCCAGTGGAGGGCAGCTTTTACCCTGCTAGTACTTATTGATCTCAAGGTTTCAGTTTTTCTATTGGGAAGTGGGACTCTTTACAATTTCACATTTAGCGATCGGTCCTTCAAGAACATCATGCATCTTGGCCTCCTTTTCTTGTGAATATATTATCCTCAGATTAAGGCTGCAATCCCCTATACACCTACCTGGCCAACTCTTCCATTGAACCAAGTAGTCTAAATCGAATAGCTAATTCCAAACTGCGGTAGACCCACTGAATCAAGGGGATTTACACAGGTATTGCCTTACCATTCAGCAACTGAACCAATTGGTCTACTCCAGGGGTGTCCAACCTTTGGACATAAATTTGATTTGGGCTGCATGGGGGGGGGCATCCCTAGCCGTCCTCCGCAGCCCTGCTCCAAGTGCGCTTACCAGCAGCTGCGATCTCAGACAGCAGAGGCTGCCAGCTTCGACTCCGGCGGCTTTATGGGGCCGGGAGGCGGTCCACCTATTGACGGGGACGGTGCAATGCCGTCACGTAGCCTCCCTGTCCCCTCCCCTCCCCCTCCTTCCTTCCTTTCTCTCCCCCTCTACTGTTGTGACATGCCCCGGCCACATTTCGTCCGCAAGCGCCGGCAGCGTAACTTGAAACTTTGGAATTTCTTTTAAAATAAAAAATTGCACTGGGCCGCATTACGAGCTGACCTCGGCTGCATGCGGCCCACGGGCCACAGGTTGGACAAGCCTGCACTACTCCATCAGATTTAGACATGTGGGAATGATATCTATCTAAATATGCATAAGATTGTACTTTTACTTCCTGAATTATAAAGCTCTGTTTGTATGTTTCATAGTCCACGCTCATAAAAAAAACCACTAGCATATGTTACAGCAGCTAACATTCCCTGAATCTCAGTCTGAATTAGAAGAAAGATGGGTCACCTGAAATTAAATGAAACAAAATAAATGAATAAGTAAAACAAAATTTCAAAATTTAAAATCTGATGTAGGATTGTGGCATCACATTGTAAGTGTTTTATAAAATACAATAAAATCTCAATTAAAGATACTGCCTAAACAGTTAGCTATTTACTGCTCAATCTACATGATCAGCCTGCATTCCCATGCACATTTTCTGGGATTTGAATCCCACTGGAGCCAGGGGGACATATTTGAAGCAAACATGTTCAGAGACCAGTCTGACCTCAAACAAAGTACTGAAATGCGAAAGGATCATACACTGACCCACAGATGTGATATTTGTATTTCAATCCTGATTTGCAAATATTTGTTTGGCAAACACGGAACTTAAATTCAATACGATAGATTTTAAAATGTCAAATACAGTTCAAAGAAAAATCTATGGAATATATTCGATTTAGCGTATTGGAATACCTTGGAATTTACTGAGGAAGATTCTTGATGCAGAGACCACATTAGCTTCTAATGCCATCTGTATAAAAAAGAGAGAGTGTGTTAAAGAGACTCTCCCCTTCTCTCTCTCTCTCTCTCTCTTGTCAGTAGAAGGTGCATTTCTGTTCCAGGTGCCTTGCTCTTTGTTTATTCTGTGTCTGCAATAGCTTGAGCAAAACATGTACAGAAAGTGAATTCCAGCTGAGAAAAGCTTAGCTCAGCTGCATCTGGCTATGGTGCAGAAAAACTTCCTCTTGGCTTCCCAGTAAAGCAGCTGTCTATGGGCCACAAGAAGAATCCCAGTTTCATGTCACAGCTGCAAAAAAATGTGCAGGGCACACACCGAGTGAATCAAACTACAGGAGGGGAGACTCTGCTAATTGCTTACATCCGCACTGTGTCTGGGCACCATTTGGCTGCCACAACACTTGTTCAAGTTACCTAGGGCTAGACCCCAGCTGGTTCTTAAGCGCATGCATGGAAATGGTGGGAATAAGAGGACGCAAAGAGCATCTCTTTCACTCACTCAGCTAGCATTCAGGTTAGCCACAAAGGCATGACCTGTTTCTTCTCTTTACTACTGTGGGCAATCAATCCCCGCCTCCCCCCAAAGGCCAGGGGGAAAAAAAGACATTAGAAGACAGAAAGGACGATATTGCAACACCCACAGTGACTGAGAAGTTGGCAGTTTGCGAACAGGCAGCTTAATTCTAATTGCCACCAACCTCGGCTTTTACTATTGAAGTTGGCTGGAATCGTTCAGCAAGGAGATACAGAAGTTGCTTCCAGAACATTTATATAAGGCGGTACAAAACAGAAACTATCCCAGAGTAGATTCTGAGATGTCTAAAATCTTCTAGGGATTATAATTTCTAGCAAAATCTCCAGGCATTTATATACAACGCCTATGCACTGTGATTGTGCTTAAAATCATGACTAGGAGAAAAAAAATATCCTTTCCAAATTTAGGCATGGAGAGGATTTAGTTTGGCTCGCATTTTAAAGCGAACACACCCAATTGGCACTTCTGAGTATAATATGCAAATTAGAACATTTTTAGCCTTTGGACTACACAGTTCTCCAAATTTTTTGATGCCGGTCTCAGCTCCAACTACGTATGTCAGCTGCATACACAAACATACATATTAGACATTGGGAACAAATGTGTGTGTATGCTAGAGAATAATTTATTTATTTATTTTAAAATTACCCTGCCTTCCTCCTTAAAAAGGACCAAAGACAGCTTATATAATTTTTTTAAAAAAAAATAATATTTAAATCTCAAAAATGAAGTTACAAATATTTCAAAGGCTCAAACAAGTAACGTACTAGAAAGTGGTAAACAAAAGCAACACCAAAGCCACATTCAAAGTAGCAAGGCAAAGCACTCTATTTAAAAATCCGCTCTTCGACGGCCACTAAATGAAAGCCGGCCTGAAGAGAAAGGGTTTGGTCTGATTGAGAAAGACAACAAAGCTGGAGCCAGCTTGACATCCTATGAGAAGGAGTTAAAAAATCTGGGAGCAGGGACAGAGAAGCCCTCTCCCGGGTACCCACCAAACGTACCAGTGAGGATTGTGGGGCTGAGAGAAAGGCCTCCCCCACACTTGGTGAGGATCTTAGAGGGAGATATAGATTTCGAAGGATTGTGGGGCTGAGAGAAAGGCCTCCCCGGAGTATCTTAACACTTGGTGAGGCTCTTAGAGGGAGATATAGATTTCGAAATAGCTTGGAACCAAGCTGTTTAGGGCTTTATAGATTAAAATCAGCACTTTGAATTGTGTCAAGAAACGGGTTGCAATCAGTAAAGCTGCTTATAACAAGCGACATTGTGTGATTCCCTGTTACCAGCCTAAGTTAACAATCTGGTTGCAACATTTTGGACCCATTGAAGTTTCTGAACTCTTTCCAGAGGCAGCCCCACACAAAGTGGGTTACGATAATCCAGCTGGGATGTAACTAAGGCATAAGTCATTGCGGGCATGTGCTTACAAAAATGAATGTGTTAGGGGGAAATGTAAACAAAAGATTGTCACCATCTTAGAACTGATCATTTTAGAACAGCAGAGGTGGAAGGGACCCTATGTAGTCCAGCCCCCGTCAGGGAGGCACAGAGCAGAATCAACCTCCCAACATCTGGCTCATACCTAGATTGCTTAGCTACACAGCAGTTCTAATGTAAATGCTGTGGTTCTAAAACCCTTGTTCTTCCTTGTGTTTTGGAACTCAACTTTTGGAAGTCCCACCCAGAACTGCCATGGGAAGGAATTCAGGGAGCTGAAGGGCAAACCACGTGGAGGGAAAGAGACTGAGAACCTGTGTTACAGTAAATTGCATGAGAACATAAATGCTACTTTTCATGGAATGTTTGAAAAACCAAGGCCAGAATCCTATTGTTATTTACACTGATGTTAAGAGCCGTAGCACAAATAACAGCTGGAAATTGATGCTAGGTAAAGAGGAGCTTTTCATATGCCTCGTCACATGCCAGTCATATGACTTGGCACACAACAAAGAATTTAAAAAATGGATTCATTAATCAGTGGAGATTCGTTAACTAGCAGCAATTTGCCACTGTGATTCGCAGAACTGGCTTATGTTGGTGTGAACAACTGTTAAGATTCTGGCCAGTTAAGTCATACATTAAATTTTGGGGTGAAGAAAATTACTCCATATGTTGATAGGATGACTTTATCATGGTCAAGGACCAGCAAGACCAGAACAATATGAAATAAATACATACAATCGCAATTTCATAAAAATTAAGCAGAATTATACATTCTTCCATTAAAAATATGATAAATCAACTCCTTTCAAATTATTAACATCATAACCAGCTAAGATGACTCTATATCTTAAAAATAAGTGAAACCTCGCCCAATGTTATAAAAGCATTATATTGTCTGTCTTAGATCACAACCCATATATCTGCTAGCAAATTTATTCCATATGAAAACATGAATCTGTCTTACATCAAGTCAAAGCATTGGTTTGCTTAACCATGGCCTATTTGCTCTAACTAGTATTGGTTCCCTTGTCCAAAGTAAAACTTCTACCCAGTCTCATTGTTCCTTTTTATCTAGAAGTTCTGGTGCTTGTTTGCTCTATGATCTTTCCCTGAAACACAGACACTAATTCCCATACCAAGTGAAATATATACCTAGTACTATGATGTTAGTGCCATATTTTGTTGTCTATGCATACAACATTTGTCCAAATAAATAAGACATTCTTCTCATTACAACTGCAGTTTGCAGGATGCATGGGTTGAAAAGCAAAGATGTTTCTAGCAAGTGTAAATATTTGCATAACAGCACTTTGTGAGTGTGCACATGATTATTACTGCTCAAGGTATAACAATCATTCAGCAGTTGCCTGGATCCATACTCATAGCAATATCTCTCTCCCTTCCTTAGATCTATTAGTTTGCAAAAGCAAAAGCCACAGTCTGCTCAGATATTAAGAGTAAATAAGTGATGCACAGGGACTTAATAATAATATTACTAAGCACTTCTACAGCACTTTATATATCCAGAGTGCTGTACAAACATTAATTAATTAATCCTTACAACAACCTGCAAAGTACGTAAGTATATTTCCCGTATTAGCGCCAAATCCTCTGCTTGTGTAGGTGGAAACTGTGCTAACTTCAGCAGAGTTTAGCCCATTTACACCACCAAAGCTCGCTTTGGCCCTTGAAAAGGGAAATGATTAAGGGCCCAAGCACACACACTGAGTTCAATTACACTTCAAGAGTTCTTCACACCTGCTGTGCCAATTCATGCTACTCATCCAGGATGGCAGTAGAAACAAACTATCTCATTCTTCTGCATAGGCTGTGCAAAATTCTGGGGAAAGGCCATTTAAAAATAAACTACACTACATAATTCCAGAGGGCTAGCCACACATCTAGATGTATTGCTTGATTTCTCATCGCTCGGTGATTTAATGTCTTGTGTGAGTGGGTTCACTTGAACTGCATTGTATCTGATATGATGTGAAATTCTGGGCTGTGGTGTTTGATCTGTAGTAAAGTATTTCCATATGCAACTTACCTGCTTACCCTCTTGTCCTCCAGTGAGTAAGTACCATTAACACGTAAGCCAACTCATCAACACTTAGTACCGTATTTTTCCATGTACAAGACCATACTTTTGTCTAAAATCTTTAGACTAAAAATTGGGGGTTGTCTTATACATGGAAGTAAGTTGAGGAGAGAGAAAAACAAGTGGAGGGGAAAGCAGGGATCAAAGTGATCCTGCAGGGATTTGATCCCTGCTTTCCCCTCCACTTGCTAAGCCTTAGCAAAAGGAAAGCAGGGATCAAAGTGCTGCAGAATGGCACTGATCCTTGCTTTCCCCTCTGCTTACTAAGTCCCATGGGGCTTAGCAAGTGTAAGGGGAAAGGATCAAATCAATCCCATGGCTGTATAAGGGGGAAAGGGATCAAAACGATCATGCAGTCATGGGATCGCTTTGATCCCTTTCCCCCTCCTATTCCTAAAACGCGTGGGGCTTAGCATGAAGGGAGAAAGCAGGGATCAAAGCGATCCTGCAGTGCTTTGATCCCTTTCCCCTACACTTGCTAAGCCCATATACATGGAAAAATATGGCATTTATTTCTGGAAGGACAGCCATGTCAGTCAGTAATGTGTTGCAGCAAAACCAAGGGAGAGTCTTGTGGCACCTTTAAGATGAAGAATTTCAATCTGGCATACACTTTTGTGGACTACAGCCAATGTCTTCAGTCTTCTTTCATGGCTTGCAGGCCATGACAGCTTATGCCTGTTGCTAGTCTTCAAGGGCTCACAAAATGTTTTGTTGATTTTGGAGCAACATATTACGTATTTGGACCTCTCGCTCCAACAGAAAACACATTACTCTAAGAGTTCCAAAGACAAAGATGGTATCGCCCCTGCCCGCAAACTCCCAAGACGCTTACAGAATGCAGCAGACAACTGGATGGAAGACAATGTCAAAATACTGAAATGCTGTACTGATCTTACAATATTTCCCCCCTGCTTGTAACTATAGGTTGGAG